TGTATAGATTTAATTTTTATTTTTTATTAGAAGAAAAATAAAAAAAAATATATATAATTTTATATGAAGTATTCAGATACTGGTATTAAGTCTGAAGTTTGATCACGTGAAAGAAAAATGTATATGAAACATTCTTTAGATAATTTTCAGTTGTTATCTAAGAGGAGAACAACAAGAAGAAATTAAAATAAACTTTATGTACATAATCAAAATTTCCAAAACTAATTAGTTTACAATATTCCCATTTTTTGCTAAAAACTTACTGATTCGATGCTTGAAGAGATTCAATTGTGCTTTTTTAAGCTTTGAACACAAATTTCAGCATCTAAACTAATTAGTTTTAGTCTGTCAGATAACAACTTAAAATTATTTAAGGAATGTTTCCTATACATTTTTCTTTCACGTGATCAATCGTCCGACTTAACAACAGTATGCACTTAGATTTTAAATAAACCAATCGATCTGATTGAATCGGAGTATTCTTTTTGGATCACTCTATATACAGAGCTGATTTAATAAATGAGTCTTGTGTCTGCTCTGTCTAAAGATTTCTTTTATATTAACAATCAGGTGTAACTATTTTACATTAGTAATGTAGGTTAGAGTGACGTATATGCGATATAGAACAACGAAGAGGAGTGTTTCAATATGTTTATATCTAGACATATTGGGCAATACCTACAAGTAATCATAGTTAACTTTTATATTAAACAGCTCTACATGTTTACAAATCTATTAAATTGTCATTTGTATCTTTCAAAAAGTCTCGAAATGACATATAATATATCATAGACTGCTATTCTCTGTCATCTTTCTGTCACTTTCATGTTTCCGTTGCCTTTTCTTGCAATCGAATGAATACGAAACTGCTGAGAAGTAGAAAAAAATTAAGATCAATTATCTTGAACACGTATTCTATTAAAAGATCAGCAAATCTTTTGTCTTTCGTTTACAATATTTAGATAAATAAATTTTCAAATTATTTGACGTCTACATTTTTTTTTATATTTAAACGAAAAAACTAGTAATCAAATCACAGACAAGTACATTGTTTAACAATAGCATTTTTAATTGGATAGATTTCGATACTTCCATCTGGTTGTCGAAGAAGAAAATTATCATCAGTATATTGAGATGGTACACATTTAAGTTGAGGAATATTCGAATTTTTTTTACTAATCAACGACTGTATAACTGCATGCCATGATATTAATTGTGATTGTTGTGACAATGTCAAATTTGAACACGAACCATCACAATAACTAAATGTATATTCTTTTGGTCGAATAAATAAATTAGCTAAACCAAGTTCTTCAAATTTAATTTGAATCGTTTTTACTTTACATATAGTTTTTTCTTGTGGCGATTCATTTGAAATCAAAGAATTCGATCTTAATGATGACATTATAATATAAGTCTGTAGTGTTTGACATGTTTGATTATGAATAATTGTTTCAATAATTACGTTTGGATTATTTATTTGTAAAAAATAATCATACATATTAAGAAAATAAAAATTTCGAATAGAATCAAATTGTAAATATGTATTAATCGATAACAATTCTTTAAATGTTCGTAATTGTTTTATTAATATTTTTATAGGTATTTTTAATGGTTCGATTTCAGTTGAATTTATATCATAAATAAGTTCAATTGACGATAAACTTGTAATTGTATCAGACCATTGAAATGTTGATTGAATTTGATTATTATTTATTGTTAAACAATTTTTTGAATGTAATGTATACATAGGAGTTAAGGAAAATGGTTTATTGGTTATATGTTTTCTACGTCTACGATTTTTAACTATAAGATAAATCGAAGATTATTTATAAGAAAAAAAATATATTAATTTGATTGAAAATACGAACTCTGTTCTAAATTTGTTGTTAAATAATGATTTGTAATCATTGATTGTATTAATGGTGAATGAGATATATTAAGTAAATCAATAAAATATTGTCTTAGAAAAAAATTACGATATGAATTATTTGATATTAATTCTGAATGATGATAAGTTGATGATGATTGTAACGTCGTTATTGAAGCAGAATGACAAGAAGATAATCGAAAGATAATGAAAATAGAAAGAAAAAAATTCGATAAGAATATTTCTCGCCACATTACACCGTTATAATCTTTAGAGATAGATAATAATGATGATGATGATGATGATGATAGTAGTATTGTTGTCGAAATGATTTTAATAATATAATTGAATTTTTATTCATTACGTAAACGATAATATAAGAATGAAAATATAAATTTCGATTATGAGTTGAATACTGAAATAAATATAGTGATTTAACATAAACAAAATTAATACAAAAGTATTTAGTATTCTTTTTTTCTGGGGAATAAGTAAAAATCTATTATTTAATCGATCGCCTACACATAAGATAGACAGTATGCTTGGGTCTTATCATATGTAACTACAAGTATGTTCGGTTTATCTATGTGCAGTTATTCAGAGACGCAACAGAGAATGTACTTGTTCTTATGTTATTATTCATTACTCGGTCTTGTACAACCAACATTCTCACAGTTTCAAGAAACATGGTTCGATTTATCATATACAAAATGAATCGATGACTATACATCTAAATAAAAAATATATATCTATACGAATATGAACTTTTGTTAATTAAAAATCTAACATTGCCTTTTATTCAATGCTACATAACTAAAAGTTATGTTTTCGATATGTTGAGATTCCTTGTATTATAAAAAACTAAATAAATAAGAATAAGGATTGATAAGAGTATGCACGTTTAGAAAGGAATAAAAAATTTCCAGAACGATGATAATAGTTAGTTTTTATCTATGCTGTTTTTTTCGATGTATATCGACGGAGGTACTGACTAATATTATGTCTTCTGTCATGTTGCAGAATATAAGAACATGTTACAGAAAATGCAGCTGGTGGTTAATTTTTTAGGCAGAATACTAATATTTCATCAATATATGTAGAATTGATTTCAATATATAAAAAAAAATAAAATATTCAAATATATGTTTTTATCATAGCTTGATTTCAATCAACTATTGTTTTGATGAAATTTCCTTAACAGTAGATGTTTACAATTATATAATGGGGTGATGCAAAAAAAAACGTGAAGGAATTTGTACTTATATATTAAATAAATTTTTTTTATATACAAATAACTAAGAATTAATCTAGTATTTTAGATTTTTATTGGTATTTTTCTATTTGTCTATGTTCTTGGTGTGCTTTTGAGTATTTTCAAGAATGAATCATAGGTTAGTTTCTGTTATACATAGTTTATAATAATTGACAAAAGGCTCGCATAGATTTCTCACAATAAACTAATCTGAAAATATGTAAACAGACTATTGGTATCACATGCTTTTGTTTTATTTTGAAGACATGTACACATGTATATGATGTCTGATGATATAAAAGTAAACAAAATAGATTTGAACAATTTTTGTAGTATTTTTATGAATAAGTAAAAGTATTTTTCATCCATACTAATGAATAATTGTAATCTTCCATTTCCTGATAGTACTGATTTTAGAAAGATCTATAAATGTGTTATAACTTTACATTATATACACATATATTTTCTTTGGATACAACAAAACGAAAGTGCATATGTAATTTTGTCTTCAATTTAATAATGTTCGCTATTTATGGTGATAAATGTATTCGTACAAAGGCTTCTATATTACTTGAGGGTGTAAGTGTGCGCGTTATATTCTTCTTAAATTTACACTCATACCCACACTCCTACATCCACTACAACCACACCGTCAAAAAATATAATCTTTTTGTTTTTTCCACATTACTGATATGTTGCTTGCGTTTATTGAGATGAATAAAAATAAAATTTATCTCTTTTCATATCTTTCTTATGAATTAAAATCTTGCTAAACTATCAGATTCAAAAAGCTTAGATACATGTTTTTACATATAATATATAAGGCAACAAAATATAAAAACAAACATCAAACAATTTTATTAAATAAAGTTTATCTACACTTTTTGTCGTCATTAACGGTATTTGTATGTAAGTATAAAATTATAATTATAAGTTCTTGTTTCTTTATTTTATTTCAAAACGATCTTAAGTGATGTACCAAGACATATACTAAAATAAATATATAACAAAAAACTGTAGCACCAATAGATAAAAACAAAAATTGACATATTCAGAATATGAAAATACTAGAAAAATGATATGATCTAGCGGCTTATCTTGAAAATGAGTTTTAAAATGTTGCTAAGTGACCACATCGTACGCATGTTGCTAATTGTCCCAAAAGTGTGCAAGCTAATGTTTTCTCTTCTGTTAAACAAAGGACACAAGGACTTGATAATGCTGAATTAGCTGATTGATCCTGTTCAGTGTTAGTTGAAGATATTGATTTATCTGGTTTTATATCGCTTTGATTTGCAGGTGTTATTGATTTTGTTGTGGAATCAACTGAAGATTGTGAAGATATAGAATCATTTGTTGATGATGGAGATGATGTAGTCATATCAGCATCAGTAGAATTCGTCATCGACTGAGTTGTCGCTAATGTTTGTTCTTGAGTACGCATTTCTATAAAATAAATAATAATAATAAAAAACTACTAAAAATTATGCCTAAAAACATACCATTCTGTTTTCTGATTTGTTTCATTCTTATACTTGGTATAACAATGTTTTCTTTTTTACCATCAATATGTTCGTATTGTTTTTGAAGAATTAAACAAGCAATATATAAATCACACTCTGATATAAAATCATCTTCTAAAAGAAAAACAAAAGAACACTGAGAATTATAAAATAATATATTTCATTTTGTTTCACTTACGTTTTAATTGTAATTGATCTTCCCAACATCGCTTGATAATAGATAATGCAAATTTTTGATCTAATAAACGTCGTGAAATTGGTAGATCTAGTCGCTGTTTAACAAGGTCAGATAGAGTACTTTCATCAGATATTGGTAACTGTCTGTTGTCTATTGTACTAGCGCATTCTAAATAAAAGACAAAACAAATAATAGATTTAATTTAACAATTTCTCATATTCTAAGATACCTTGTTGGGCTCGTTTTGATTCTTGAATTTTTCGATATAGATCATCACCACAAAGTTGTTTAGCATATGCACAGTGTGGAAACCATCGAGCATGTTCAATCATTGGATTATCATTTGGACCCCAATTTTGTAATGATCCATTACAATAAAAACAAGTCACAATAGTTTTAGTACCAGTATAAAAAAATCCTGCTCGAACTAAATCATCGACAGATGGTAAATTCTCCGTTGGCCAGAGGCTAAATGATGCATGACGTTTTGGTATTTCGTTATAAGCAGGATCGTATGTAGCTGTAAATACAATCTCAGTAGATCTTAATGGATCGAGACCAGTTGCTGTTGATGAATTCATATTTGACGTTGTACTTGTTGAATTTTCATTTACAATAATTATAGATGAAGCTGCAGGTCGTATTAGTTTAGCAGTAACATATATACAATTGGGTGAAAGAGTTTTATGTACTTCACACGGATCATCAGTGTGTGGTGTCCATTG